TTTCCTCTAAATCCAAGTCTGTGGACAAATCAGACGAAGAACTCCAGTTTCCCAAAGAGTTCATGGAGGATTGGAGCACAATGGAGGTGTGTGTAGACTGCAAAAAGTTCATTTCGGAAATCATCAGCTCAAGCCGGCGCAGCCTGGTGTTGGCCAACAAAAGAGCCCGGTTGAAAAGGAAGACGCAGTCTTTCTACATGTCCTCGTCAGGCCCCTCGGAGTACTGCCCTTCAGAAAGGACTATCAATGAGATCTGAGCCCTGTGCCTTCCAGTTGCTTTTATGTCTAGAGGGGCCTTGGTGTGGCAATGCTGCGGGACTCTACTTCCCGTGGTTTTACTTACTAGGCTTCAGTTTGCAGCAGGTCGGACTTTGCTGCATCACCTTGTAGCACAGACTGAATGCTGTGTTCATATCAATGGATGGTATGCAACAGGTCAGCCAGTTGCTCATTTGCACTCAGAAAGGATAATACCCTAAAACTTGATTTTGTGTGTGTGGATGTGGAATCCAGAAACTTCCTTAGTTCAGTTCCTCAGCATTCATCAAGTAATTTCCTGGCTAAGGCAGAAAGCTTCTTCTGATACGATTCTGACAGAAGTGTTGAGGTTCTAAGCAGTAAGTCATATTGGCATTTCCACAAGACAGTGTTCCTATCTCATGTTCATAGTGGTCCAGAGCCCTGCTACACACCGGCCCCCTGGCTTGACCAGGCTGGCTGTTGTCTCACAGCACAAACCTAGAAGGCCTGGCTGTCATGCTCCACCTGCCGGGCTGCCACCTGCATTCTAGTGCAGAACACCGAGTGAGCTGTACCCTGCTTGGGAAGCCACTTCCTCTGAGCTGCCAGGTCTGTCTGGCTGCCACAAAGTCAGTGTCTCCTGAGCTGCTAACAGGCCTTTATTCCCTATCATGAAGGTATTATGTTAGGAATAGTTTTATAATAGATGTCTAAGAATTAAAATTTTGTGGGAGTTTGAGGAAAAAGGAAGGCTAAAATTTTGTCAAGCAGCTCAGTATATTTTGGTTAACTGTGACAGGCTGTGACAGCAGAGGGTGCCTGCAGAATTGAGCTACTGCTCCTACATTTTCAGCCACACTTTTCATAACTTTATAGTGCAGCCATCGTGACTAAATTAAGCCACAATTTGGTACCTAAGACTCAAATTGAAGTCTGTTTTTATAAATGAATTTTAAAAGAAAAATTCTGGCTGTTTTAAAATTTCAAGAAAATGAACCTGCTGCCATGCAGAATTTTTGGATGCTATTTGCACTAGTTTTCTTGTGAGTCGGGTGTAGGTGGGTTTGGATGGAGATTGGCAGTTAGTATTGTGCACACTTGAAATTTCTCCACTCCTGTGGCCCATATCATGGGCTGTCCTGTATTTCTATGTGCTTAGAAATAATCAGTCATTGAAATTCCACTAATGTTTGGAAAATCAGTTAATGCACATGCACAATAATTTCCTGAAAGCTATAAAAAACACCCTCATAGTCACCAGTGACAACTCCATTTAATAAAAGGCATGACAGTTGCATTTCATACCAACATCAAAATATAGTAACATTTCCACATTAAATTAACAGTAATACCTCAGAACTGCTCCAATAGTAATTTTTAATGCATTGAATTTATAGTTTAGTAATGGCTTTAAATTACTTATGAAATAAACTTTACCAATTGACCAAAGTAATGCATGTTCATAGAGTTCATCTAAGCTGCATATAAAGTGGGCCACCAGAAAACCCTTATGGACTGTGTGTTTCAATTATTTTAAAGACTATTGTTTATGAGCTATAAAAATTACATTGCGTGAATCTCATTTACAAAATTTTCCAAGACCTTCTGAACTTAACACTGTGCAGTTAGATGGGGCCCACTCCCTGTGACGGCCTCTAGGATAAGCTGAATGGCCACCTGGAAGAAGGAATGGATGGCACCTGTGTAGGTTTATGAGCACCCGCCTAGAGTAATGGACCGCCTTAAAATAGCACCTAATGACTGACTTCCAGCATAAGACACCAAACCACCAACCCCCAAGTGAGAATTTCATTTACATTCACAAATCAGTTAACTAGTAAATCTCATTTCTTTGGGTTTATAGTACCATACAGGGTGATTTGGGCATTATAACCACCTTTTACCAGGATGTCAGGATGCAAATCAACAACATGAACACTATTTGCCAAGTACATTATAGAAGTCAAGTGGATGGTGTGTTGAATGAAACGATTTTCAGGCAATGGTATAAAAAATGGCTTGTGGCAAGGTTAAAATTGTGGAACTTAAATTAGCATTGTTTTGGGACACCAAAACAGATTTGTGGGTTTAACTCTTCCTTATCTATGGAACATACTCCCCTTCTTCATCACTGGCACTGAGTTAGCTCATTTACATGGGCTAACCACTTGGAGCTTTGGGGCTTGCTTTCAAGTCCATAGCTGTAGTCAGTTTCCTGCTGCTGCTCCTCCTCTAACCTCCTGACACAGAGCTCCTCCTTGTCCTGGCTTCCTGCTGCATAGCCCTTCCAGTTCAAGGACAAGTGTGTTGTATGGCCGAGCTCAGTCTGATGCATTTCTTGTGCACATCTGGATGTTGTCCCTCCTAACTCCCTCCCAGTGTGAACAGCAATTTCTTTTGTTCCACAGGCCATGAGGTCACAGTGTAGGGCATCCATGCTTCCCTCCTGGTGGCTTCATCTGTGTGTCAGAGTGTATTTGAATGCTTGTAAATACTGTAATAATCTTCATTAATATTTGAAAGACATCCTATCAATGGACAATGGGAATTAACTCTCCCAAGGCAAGTAAAAAGTAAATAATTGATTTGTACATTGACTTAATGATTTTACTAGATGTCAAGTCTTAGCCCTTCAAATGAAACCAGAAAGTTGTTATGCAGGAGTCCTAAAAATGATTCATGTTGAAGGAGACGTGTGATTAGTACCATGAACTCATGCCATGAAAATTTTAAGGTTTTTATTTTTCTAACTATACTAATAAATAGAGGACTGAATTTTAGGTGAATATAGGAAACAAAAGTTTTAAATTATGTTGCTATTTACTAGAGAATATCAGCAGAAAATTTTGTACATGCAGAACTACTGAAGGGCCTTGAAGAA